AATAACATTATAATCTATTGTTAATGCAAGATTTATTTAGAAAACAACATCACACTTTTTTATCCCTGAAGGAGTAGGCAGAGGTGCACATTTCCTACGGCACTTAATGCCACTGTACAATGTAACGCCCAATTTTTACTATTTATTATATGAGTCCCATGTAATAGGGGGTGAGCATATTGTCATACACCGGGCACAATTCTAGACTCCGTGCTACTAATGAGAATTTTTAAAAACCCAGAAATACTTTGCCCGATCCGGGTATCGAACTCGAGACTCCTTGCCCAGCAGTCGCGCTTGCTACCACTCGGCCAACGAGGAAGATAGCAATATTGTATTATAAAAAAGTGAGCTCAAATTAAATTCTACCACAATAAATCTTACCGTATCGGCATCCGTAAGTCCAGAAACCTTCAAGGTTTGTGCAAGTCGAAGGAGGGACGGGAGGATCTTCTTGGAGGCTGTCACCTCTCCGGTGTACATGAAAGTGAGGAGCAGACGGAGTTCAGTAGCCTCACACCCGAGCACCACAACGAGTGTGTTGTTTTCAGCTTCCACCTCCTGAAAGTTTCAGCGCATAAATGTAAGAACTTTTTTTTATGGCATAAGCCGGTAAACGAGCAGACGGATCACCTGATGGTAAGCAATTGGCGTCGCCCATGGACACTTGGAACACTAAGGGCATTACAAGTGCGTTACCGGCCTTTTGGGTATTGGGAATTTGAGGATTGTGGGGGATTCGTAGATTGAGGAGACTGGGGGGAGGAGGTAATTGGGCCTCCGGTATCCACACTCATACGACGCAACAAAGGGAAGCGTTGTTTCACATCGGTTTTCTATGAGGCCGCGATATCACTCCGGTCGAGCCGGCCCATTCGTGACGAAGCATGGCACTCTCGCACATAAAAATACTATACTACTAAAAAAAATACTATAATGGTTGACTGGTAGAATATAGGTACTGTAGGGCATTCAGTCATTATTTAAAGTGCAAATAAATAAATATAAAATATAATATCTGTGTACGGTGACCAGCAGGTCAACCTATACTTTTCTGTCAATAACATCTTCAACTTTATTGTATTAACATAAAGTCTAAAATGCAATGAATTAATTTTACAGATTGGAGTAGTTTAATCTGCTGGCCACTGCACCAGTTTTCTAACAATAAAAAATTGATTTCATTTTATTTCTTAGGAGCGCTTATTAGATATGTATCTCCGACTATTCTATTCTTGAATTAAAAGGCCTGATATAACATACTAAATATGTCGCTTAAGTAAAATAATTTTGTTCTAAGAACAGATGTTAACGCACCTAATCTACGAAAAGAAATAAAAAATATAAATATTTTACGGATCATTCGTTAGTACGATTGACTGAAACCGTACATTTACTACAAATTAATCGTACACAACACATCCAGACGAGAATTGTTCCACATCGCAAAAAACATAGACATCTTTAATTGATTAATAAGTTTTACCTTAAAAAGTTGAGCGAAGTATTGGCTGCAAGATGCTAGCACAAGTCTATGGGCCTTCACAGAAGTCCCGCTGGCGCTCAATGTGACGTCAGTCAGGGCTCCCGAACTCAACATACGACCTAGGGCTCCAATCAAGCTGTTCTGTTCAAGTAAAAGTCAACTTTAATACCTTGGCTTACAGCAGCTTTATGAGAAATCCGTCTTATAATAATCGATACGTTATTTTCGACCAATTTTCAAAATAGTATTCTAAAAAAAAAACTAAGTAGTTGTATTTGGTATTTTGTACCCGATACTAAAATAAACTCAAGAGGTTAAAAACGTTTTGTGTGTATTTCGATCTATTAATATTAAGCAATAAATATAATGAATTATTTAGCATTTGAAAATGGAATCGTAGCGTAACTATAAAAACCATAAATATATTTTTTTTATATTATTTGCTGAATACATTACAGTGTAATAAAACAATGTGTTAAAAATAAAAGAAAATATCAAAATATAAAATGAAAACTATTGTTTATACAAAATAAAATGAAATTATAATAGTTATTTGAAAGACGGATTTCAAAAAAGCTGCTGTCTAAATTAAAATACAAAATTAATAAAAATCGATAGGTATTAGTTGTAGCTCAATAGTCGATTAGTTGGTGTGCGTGTGATCTATTAGTAACTTTACTATTTAGTGTCATTGGCAAAGGTAATATCATACAGGCTAAGCAAGGGTATCTTTATTATGTACAATTTAAAATATAAATTACAGCGCCAAAACATTTCAATTTGAATTTCGAATCTCAAAGTTAAAACTCGAATTTGTTTTTAAATTTCGAGCATCAGAAATAATAATCAAATACAAAAATTACGTGTTGATTATCTAATAAAAGATACGAATTTATTAAAAATGTAATTTTAAATAATTAAAATTTATAACCAAACGCCATCTTCAGGACGTTACCGCGCAACGTAAAAGAACAGCAATAAAAATATGTAACTAAAACTTTAAAAATAAGGCCACGGAAAAGGCAAAGGCTAAATGATTGAAGCGAAAATAAAAATATATCCAAAGGCAATAGTTTGTAAGTGTACCTGGTCATCTGTAGTGGGTGTGTTGATAAAATAAAATATTACTCACCTACCTGATGATTGTGCCAGCGCAAAGAAAACTGTTGTACATCCTCATCATCCATGGCCACAAGTATTTACTTTATAAAAACCACTAACAAACTTCTTACGCTCACTAGTTCGTTGCACGTACCAAGTGGAGACAATTATATTGTTAACGAATCCAGGCTGCTTTATTTTAGGTCGGTTCGCCTGGAAAACCTGTAGCCACCTATTTCTGGAGCTGATTGTATTTATAAATCCAATGACATTCGGCGTGTGACGCGGCTGACATACCAAAACTCATCCAAAAACAGATTTAGTTCGCTCGACCGAGATGATTGGCATCATTGTTCGACTGTTTGCGCTAATTGATCGTTATTTCATGCATTGTGATGGATTTCACACATAATAATATTGTTTATGTACTAGGCTGAATGGTTATGTTGTCTTTGCACGCGTGTATTTGTTTTATAATTTTTTTGGCAGCGTTTACATTTTTTTTACAATCTTTTAATAATCTGTGAAGAGGCAGTAAGAAAAAATACTATGATTAGATGATTTATTGTCGTAATGTAATCTTCTTTCGTTTATTCAAACATAAACTAGGTAATTAACACAATCTGCCGCTGGCAAACAAGTATGTCTGTCAAGAAAATTATGTTAAAAGCCGTAATGACGGATAATTACTAAAAGTTTTTAGACAAAGCCCTATTTTGTTGGCGACATTCTGGAGATTATAAACTGACATTGATGAAATAATGTTGTTCTGTAAATTGTGTTAAAGAGAATTTGTTATCAAAGGACGGAGTTAGTAACATCATCCTGTTCTAGTTTTTTTTCAAAGTACTGACTCATTTTATAAATAATTTTATTTTAAAGCACGGTCTAGTTTTAGTAAACGTTCTTTTTTAATTTTACGAACAGTTTCGGGAGTTAAAAACTCTTTTCATATAATCTGGCTGTTTGTCGGCGATCGCGTGCAATCGTTGACCTAATTCTGATTTTAAAAAGTTCCGTACATTTTCCCGCTCCGTTTGCGTTTCCGATTGTCAAACTTTTTAGGGCTTCGAGTTAAAATCAAATAGTTTCTTTGTGAATATTTTGTGAGTATATTCTCGTACGGGATTTTATTAGTTTTTGTGTTAATGTAAAACTAAAAACAGTAAGGTTAGTGAAATTATTTGGCATTATTTCATTCATTTTGAGAAATATTCTGATACTGTCCCGACGATTATTCATAGTTAGCAAGGGTCTTGTAATTGGTTGAATAATGTATAAGTTTGTGTTTTAGACAAATAATTCAAATAAACATAATAGTTAGAAATGGAAGGGTCATCTAAATCCGTGGAAGATATTCCTGATCCGGATTTTTTCGACAATACTAAGACAGCTATAGAAAAGGAACTTGATAGAATGAAGAAAATAGTCAACAATATCAACCAAATGAGAGGTAGGTACAATTGATACATGTGGATTTTTTACTAAAATAGTTTTATTTGCGATGTTAATATTGACTGTTTGGTTGGTCAAGAGTTCACAACAAATACCTACTTAAGCCATGCCAAACTGACTCGACAGAAGTGATACCACGGCCTCACAAAAAACAGGCGTGATACAACGCTTGCATTGTGTTTCCCCGAGTGAGAAAAGTTTATGGATTCGCACCTCGTGTTAGTAAATTTACTTACGTTTTTAGTCTTAAAACCAGCAAAAGAACTAAAAGAATAAAGCTTTAGTCCAGTGTTGAATATTGTCGTATCCATTACCTCGAAAGAATGTTAGGAGCGCAGGAAACCTAAGTATTTAAATAGGTTTGTTGTAAAATTCGTTGCTAGCGAGGTTTTTTACTTACTTTTAACAAAATTAAAAATAAATATTTTGGTGAG